TATCTATGAGTTTTGTTTTCTTTTGTTTTGTTTATTAATTGATTTTATTTTTTAGATTCCATATATCAGTGAAATCATACAGCATTTGTCTTTGGCTTATTACGCTTAGCATAATACTCTCAAGGACGTCTATCCATGTTGTTGCAAATGATAAGAGTTCTTTCTTTTTATGGCTGGGTAGTATTCTGTGTGTGTGTGTGTGTGTGTGTGTGTATGTGTTTGCATGTGTGTACCACATCTTTATCCATTCATCCTTCGATGTACACATAGGTTGTTTCCATATCTTGGCTGTTGCAGATAATGCTGCAGTGAACATAGGAGGGTGTATATCTTTTCAAATTCGTGTTATCATTTTCTTCATAAAAATACTCAGAAGTAGAATCACCAGATCCTATGGTCATCTTATTTTTAATTTATTTGAGAAAACTTCATACGGTTTTCCACAGTAACTGTGCCATTTTATATTCCCACCAATAATGTGTGACATTTCCATTTTGTCCAAGTCCTCACCAACACTTGTTTCTTGTCTTTTTGATAATGGTCATTCTAACAGATGTGAGGTGATACCTCTTTGTGGTTTTGGTTTGCATTTCCCTGATGATGAGTGATGTTGAGCATCTTAACATGTGCCCATTGAACATCTGTATGTCTTCTTTGGAAAAGTGTCTATTCAGATCCTTTGCTCATTTTTAAAAATAGATTTTTTTGCTATTGAGTTTTATAAGTTCTTTATAAAATGTGGATATTAACCCTTTATTTGATATATGATTTGCAAATATTTTCTTACATTCAATAGGTTGACTTTTCATTTTCTTGATAATTGCCTGTTCTGTGCAGGAGCTTTTCAGTTTGATACAGCCCTACTTATTTATTTTTGTTTTTGCTGACTTTGTTTTTGGAGTCAGATTCAAAAAGCCATCATCGGCAAGTGAGATGTCAAGGAGCTTATCACCTAAGTTTTCTTCTGAGTTTTATGGTTTCGGGTCTTACATTCAAGTCTAATTTATTTTGAGTTAATTTTTGCATATGATGTAAGGTAGTAGTCTAGTTTCATTCCTTTGCATGTGATTGTCCATTTTTCTCAACACCATTTATTGAAGAGACTGTACTTGTCCATTGCATATTCTTGCCTCCTTGTCATAAATTAATTTACTGTATATGTGCAGTTTTCTTTCTGAGCTCTCTATTCTGTCCCACTGATCTATGTGTACTTTTATGTTGATATACTGTTTTGATAACTATAGCTTTGTAATGTAGTTTAGAAACAGAAAGTTTTGTTTTTCTCTCTCAAGATTGCTTTGGCTATTGGAGGTCTTCTGTGTCTCTATACAAATTTTAGGATTGTTTGTTCTGTACCTGTAAAAAATGCCATTGGAATTTTGATAGGGATTGCATGGAATCTGTAAAATGCTTTGAGTAATATGGAAATTTTAACAATATTAATTTTTCTAATCCATGAGCACAGAATATCTTTCTACTTATTTCTGTCTTCTTCAGATTCTTTCATCAATATCTTATAAATGTACAAGCTTTTCACCTCCTTGGTTAAATTCATTCCTTAGGTGTTTTATTATTCTTGATGCAATTGTTAAGTAGGATTTTTAAAAGTTTCTCTTTGTGATAGTTCATCCATTTTTCTCTCAAATTTGGTAAACATATTTATGACTCTTACCTTGGAGTCTTTATAAGGCAAATTATCTCCATTTCATTAAGGTTTTATCATGTTCTTTCATTTAGAACATATTTCTCTGCTTTTTTGTTTTGCTTGGCTCTTTGTGTTTGTTTTTATGTGCTTGTCTGAAGGAGTGCCCTTGTGCAGGAGATGAAACTTATTATTCAACCTTGCCAGAACTCTTGGTTGTCTCTTTATCTTTAAGTCAGACCCTCAGGCAGCAACATTTAAAGTGTGCAGATATATACTTTTTGGTAGCTAGGACCTTAATCATAGACACTGCGAGTCTCCGGATGAAGAGATCTGGAGTTGTCCCTGGGCAATAGTTTCAAAGACCAGCATTCCAGATGTGTGTATGAGTTCCTTTCTAGAAAATACTTTTGAGCTGTAGTGAGGTTGATGGGAAGCACAGAGATGGCAGCCCATGGCTTCTGTTCTCTGAGATCACCTCCATAGCCTCTAGTTGTGTGGCAAACCTGAGGCGTGCCCCTGGGGCTGATGCTCCAGGACATGTAAATTGGACATCTTCCTTTTTCACAGGAAGACTGGGGTTCTGTTGTTTCAGTCAGCTGACTGTTCAGTGCCCTGAGGGTAGTAGGTTGCCAAGAACTGTATTTCTGATTGTTACAGTCCCATGGTGCCCAGGAACAGAAGCCCAGAGCTGGACACCAGAGCCCTGCAATCTAGGAGCATCCCCTTTGTGGATTGCACATGCCCGTTTACTTGAGGAGGGCAGCAGGAGGGTGCACAGGTGGGACATGGATTCCGGCTTTAATGGGGCAGCCAGAGAGTACAGGGAATGTGTAGAGCCACCAGCACTAGCAAGGTAGAGGGGGAATGCAAAAATGACCCCTGCCAGTGCCTCAGTTCTATGATTGGTCCCTACCCTCTGGGAAATTTTTTGAGATTAACAAACAAATCACTTTCAAATATAGTCTAGGCCCTTTTCTCGCTGCTGCTTTTGTGCTGGGCCCCTGGGACATGAGTCTGTGCAAGGACTCTTTAAGAATAGAATCTCAATTCCCAAATATAGTTAAAATGTCATTACTACCCAAAGCAGTCTACACATTCAATGCAATCCCAATCAAAATTGCACCAGCATTCTTCTCAAAGCTAGAACAAACTATCCTCAAATTTGTATGGAACCACAAAAGACCCCAAATAGCCAAAGTAATACTGAAGAATAAAACCAAAATGGGAGGCATCACCATCCCAGGCTTTAGCCTCTACTACAAAGCTGTCATCAAGACAGTATGGTATTGGCACAAAAACAGACACATAGAGCAATGGAACAGAATAGAGAACTCAGAATGGGACCCACAAATGTACAGCCAACTAATCTTTGACAAAGCAGGAAAGAATATCCAATGGAAAAAAGACAGCCTCTTTAACAGATGGTGCTGGGAGAACTGGACAGCAACATGCAGAAGAATGAAACTGGATCATTTTCTCACACCATACACCAGAATAAACTCAAAATGGATGAAGGACCTGAACGTGAGACAGGAAACCATCAAAACCCTAGAGGAGAAAGCAGGAAACAACCTCCTTGACCTCCACCGCAGCAACTTCTTACTTGACACATCCCCAAAGGCAAGGGAATGAAGAGCAAAAATGAACTATTGGGACCTCATCAAGATAAAAAGCTTCTGCATGGAAAAGGAAACAATCCATGAAACTAATAGGCAACCAATGAATGGGAAAAGATAGTTGCAAATGACATATCAGATAAAGGGTTAGTATCCAAAATCTATAAGGAACTCACTAAACTCCACACCCGAAAAACAAACAATCCAGTTTGTTTGAAGAAATGGGCAGAAGATATGAACAGACACTTCTCCAAAGAGGACATCCAGATGGCCAACAGACTCATGAAACAATGCTCAGTGTCCCTCCTCATCAGGGAAATACAAATCAAAACCACACTGAGATATCACCTCACACTGGTCAGAGTGGTGAAAATGAGCAAATCAGAGGACTCTAGCTGCTGGTGAGGATGTGGAGAAACGGGCACCCTCCTACACTGTTGGTGGGGATGGAAACTGGTGCAGCCCCTCTGGAAAACAGTGTGGAGATTCCTCAAAAAATTAACAATAGAACTGCCCTATGACCCAGCAATAGCACTGCTGGGAATTTACCCAAGGGATACAGGAGTGCTGATGCATAAGGGCACGTGTACCCCAGTGTTCATAGCTGCACTCTCAACAATAGCCAAAACATGGAAAGAGCCTAGGTGTCCACTAGGTGTCCATCAATGGACAAATGGATCAAGAAGATGTGGTTTTTCTATACCATGGAATACTACATGGCAGTGAGAAAGACTGAAATCTGGCCATGGGTAGCCACATGGATAGAACTTGAGGATGTTATGCTGAGCGAAATAAGTCAGGCAGAGAAGGACAGATACCATATGTTTGCACGTATAGGAGGATTAGGAGGAACTTAACAGAGGACCGTGGGGGAGAAGAAGGGGGAAAATAGTGCAGGAGAGGGAGGGAGGCAAACCATGAGAGACTCTTGAATGCTGAGAACAGACTGAGGGCTGCTGGGGGTGGGGAGGAGGGAAATGGGGGTGGTGGGCATGGAGGAGGACACTTGTGGGGATGAGCACTGGGTGTTATATGGAAACCAACTTGACAATAAACTATTAAAAAAAAAAAAGAATCTCAGTTCCCTGCAGCCCTTTGGTTCTCCTTGATGTAAGTCCCATTGTTTTTCAAGGTCATATGAGGGTCTTGAGACTCTCTCCAAGTCTCAAAGTTTGGGCTGCCTCATGTGGGGTGTGAATCCCTCACTCCTCAGGGAGAAGCTCCAGGTTTGTGTGATCCCTCCTGATTGTGGATTGCTACACTGGGGGCAGGGTTTTTGCAAGACCTTGTCTCTGCCTTTTCTATCCCTCTCAATGTGACCTTTTAATTGTTTGTTTGGGAGGAGCTGTTCAGCTAGTATTCAGGTCTTTTCAGAGGAAAGTATTCCCTCTGTACCTGTAGATTCAGTGTGTCTGTGGGAGGAGGTGGGTTCAGGGTCTTCCTCCACTGCCATCTTGGATCACCTTTATATCTTTATATCTGTAAGTTATTTTAAGGGACCCAGCATCCCAGTTACAGCCTAACTCTTCAGATTTAATATTCACTGCAGTGTTTGGGCTGCCACATGATTCCACAGTAAGAATAAGGTAAATTCATTCTTTTATGATCACTTCCTGTGATGTTCTTTTATACAGAAAAATAATAATAGAAAATATTTCATCTTTGACTTTTGTTAAATCCAAGGAAACTGCCGTTTCTTTCTGATTACCAAATTTGTTGTTTGTTCATTTTTTTTCCAGAGAGTTGAAAACGATGTGGCTTTCTAACAAGCAAAAAGATGAGTTGTGCTCCAAACATGTCATATTCCTGGAGAAAGGTAGCTGAGAAAAGTAATAATAGTACTGAGATTTCTTTTTCTTTTTTTTAATGTTTATGTAGTTTTGAGAGATAAAAAGCACAAGTGGGGGAGGGGCAGAGAGAGAAGAAGACAGAATCTGAAGCAGTTCCAGGCTCTGAGCTGTCAGCACAGAGCCTGATGCGGGGTTCAAACTCATGGACCATGAGATCATGACTGAGCTGAAGTAAGGTCACTTAACCAACTGAGCCACCCAGGTGCCCATGAGATATCTTAAATGAAATGTATGATAGGAGTAGGAAAGTTTTGGCCAACCTTTATTGTCATCTCTCTGAAACAGTTAATTGAGAGAATAAGCAAACATTTTACTTACCCTTCCCTTAATTTAAGGAAAGGTTGGCATGCCTAGTTTTCATGCACTCCCTCTTTTGGTAGTGGTCTAAGATCAGGCAAACCAGGGGAGGAAGACAATAAAGCAGAACAAGATGGATTAAGATCTTAGTTTCCAGAGTATCCATGTTTTAGTTTGGGTTTCCTTTATTTACTTCACTTTTAAATGTAAAGATAAACCTTTGGTTAGTTTATGTTTGCAAGGGCTGAATTTGGGAAGTATTTTTTGTTTCTCCGTTAACTTCAGTTTAATTGCGTCCCAGGGCGGCGGGAAGCAGAATAACTGATGTCATCATTGAAACTCAGCTTTTTAATCTTAGCACTGTCAAAATTTGGGGCTAGGCAATTCTTTGTTCTGGGGAATTGGCCTGTGCATTGGGACATGCAAGCATCATCTTTCCTCTTTATCCACTAGATGCCAGTAGCACCTCCTTACAACTGTAATGGTAAAAGTGTCTCCAAACATTGCCAATGTCCCACTGGGGTACATGATCATATTCTAAATACTGGGCTGGGAGCTTTACATTCAGTTTTTGCAGCAACCCTGAGAAGTAGACATTATTGCTTTCAGTTTCACAAATGATCAGCTTTTTCTTCCTTGCTAATTTGTCCATTCTGATGCTGCTTTTGACGTAAAGACGGAACCACAGGGGCATCTGGGTGGCTCAGCCAATTATGTGTCTGACTCTTGATCTCAGCTCAGGTCGTGATTGCACCATTTTGAGATTGAGCCCCACATTGGGCTCTGTGCTAAGCGAGGAGCCTGCTTAGGGATTTTCTCTCTTCCTCTCTCTCTACTCCTCCTCCATGCTCTCTCTCAAAATAAATAAACATTAAAAAAATAATAATTACTGAATCATAAATTTGCCATGTAAAAATGGGAAAATTATGGAAGGAAAAGGGATACATAAATTTCAGATATTTCTTCTTTAGAATATAGAAAGAAAAATGTGTAATGACCGTTATGAAGTATAAAATTAAAATGAATATGAAGGCTCCAAGATATTGTCCCTAATTAATACTTAGCTCATTTTTGGGCTCTATGTTGAATAATTATTGCTTTCAAAATATCAAATTTCCTGTACTAAGTAATTTGGTTTTTTCAATTAGATTAGAAAGACCCAGGAAACATGAAAATCAAATGCAGTGTGGAAATTTGGGTTGGATCTTGGAAAAAGAAAAAGAGATTAGTATAAAGCTGGTGATGTCTGTAATTTATTTCATAGTATTGTTCTAATGTTAATTTGTTGGTTTTGATCATTGTATGATGACTATGCAAGATGTTAACATTGGAAAAGCTGAGTAAGTGTATATGGGAAATCTCTGCTATTTTTGGAACTTTTTTTACATAGAAAATATTTAAGATTAAAAATATTTTAAAATACAGAGAATGAAATATATTAATAATGTAAACAAATTCTGTCAAGAAGCAGATGATCTGGGTTTCTATTGTTATTCTACTACTTTCTACTATCATTTTTACTGTGGGCAGTTAAAATCTATAAATTTTAGCTGTTTCAACTAGAAAAACAGATGATAATATCTGAATATATAACCTATTCAAAGGCATGATTGTAGACCAGATAACCTTGTGAGGTTGCTCTGATAAATAATTGTCTGCCTCTCTCTGTCTTTCTCTCTCAGACCTAATTATTTATGTATATCCATCTAAAACACATGGATGAATACATCCACACATGTAGACGTGTACATACATCTACACACACTCAACAGAGCTTTCTGTTAAAAAAGCATTCAAATCAAACCTTACTTTTGGTTTTAAACTATAGAGTGTGAAATGAGCATTTAAAAGCAGTGAGAAAGAGTTTCACTGGCCAAAAGGATTTACTATTACATTATTCAGCCATCACGCTAATGTGGGTTTCTTAGGCAGATGAAAGATTATAGGAGGTTACTAATAATGAGGATGAAACTACGTACCTAATGTTCTAGAACTGCCATTAAGAAATGCAAGTGTGTCACTGCTCAATTCTGCTGAGATATTTTTGCCTGTAACTTTCCTGTAGGAAACTTAGAGTAAAATGAACTTTATCTGAAAAGTTTAGGCTCGGCACATCATTTATATCAAGACATCCCACCATCTGCCCTCAAAGTTTGCATAAGAGGTGATGCCTTTCAGTCAACACATACTATGGGATCAGTACAATACTAGATGTATTAATTGTATTAATGCATTTTATGTCTGAAGGAGATTTTAATGATTAAAAAACAGGTTTTAGGTATCTGTAGAAGAATGGATGTTGGTTTTAAATAATAGTGAGATCATCCAGATTTTCTACCAATGCTCTCACTAAGAGTTTGTCGAGTACTGCATGTCGCCATATTGCAACAACATCTAAACACACAATGCTTTCTCTTTTGGATTGTGGCCTTATTTTATTTGATTTCTAACCCAGATACTGATAATGAACACAGCTTCTTTTGCAACAGCAGAGGGGTAGAATTCCATGCAAATTGGCAGTGAGTGAAGCCAACTGCTCTTGTAGCTTTTAGACTGTAGGCAGTGAGGACTTAAATATTCCATAAGCATAGTAGCTTTGGCTGTGGCTCCTGAGATTCTGAGCAGCTTCATATTGGTAAGGTGAACTATTTATCCAGCCTGGCCTACAAGGCACACCTAAGAAATGGTGTCTGTATTGGGATAGTCATATCCCACCCCTTAACTTACAATTGGAGTTCCTGAGCTTATATCTTAGTTATCGTCTTTGGCCCTGGCACTACCTTTTACCTTTAGCTTTGAAGAGATTTAAGTTTTCCTTATGGTCCTTATGTAAATTTCTCTGTGGTATAATTCTGTTGTTGTTCCTTCAGTTGAAGTCAGAATTGATATTTTACTTTCCATAAGGAATCAGAGAAACAAAGGATCAAACTCATTTACTTAGTATTACTTTAGGAGAAGACAGTCTCCTAGAGCTTATAATTTTTTTTAAGGGTTAGGAATCTCTAATCCCTATGCCAGTTTCCAGGTCATTTTCTCTCTCACAGTGGAGAGCCTTCTATGAGTCTTTACAGAAGCCCTCTGCCCACTCTGTTTCTGGCTTCCAATACTACTATTAGAGTTTTAATTTTCTGAATTAAACCAAAGGCACCCAGTGCAACTGGCAAGATCCCATTCCCATAATAATGTGATCAAGGTATATTATTTTTCCCAAATGGTTGGCCCGATAAGAAAGGCTTCTTAGAGAACTCACTAAACAAATGTGTTTTAAAACATTTGGAGATGGTCCAGAACTAGGGCAGAAATCTCCAGAAAGAAGGGACAAAGAAGATCTCAAAATCATTCATACACTCATTGAATGCACAGTAAAGTGATATCTTACAGCTTTTTGATGTGTGTGTAGTTCTGGTAGAAACCAAGTCTGAGCTATACCCCTGTGGATAAAAGAAAGCTAGCCAGAAGTAAAGAGGTATTGCTGATGTTCATCATCTTATAAAGAGGTAAATCCTAAGATAGAAAATGGGGTTTCGGAAGTTGAGTCTCAAGCAGAGGAGAGATAGAATGCTTTCTTTTCTTGGATTCGGATTCTAAGGATTTATGCTATGTTCAAGAATAACCTCTGGTGGTAATAGAGAGATGGTCTCTACCAAGTGGAGATTATTGGGAGCTGGTCCTCATGACAGTGGCTAAGTGGACCCCTAGGAGATATACCATCTTGTTGTCAGATCAGTTAATATTATATTTGCCTTTCTGGAATCATCTCCTTTAGCCTGAATCATAAAGTCTGGTTTAAATAAATGCAAAAGCTCTTCTAACTATGCTATTCATGTTTAAGGGAAGGGTCAAGTCAATCCATGCATAGAAATATGAATACTAGAGGTAACAATCTTGTCCCTAGATAAGATTAAAGACTATAAGATTTAGCTGCCCCTTGCAATCTGAAGATGTTCTCTTAATTACCATCCTTGGAGGACAGAGATTTGATTTGGTCCCAGATAGCTATAGGTTTCTTATAATAACTTCAGGGAGAACTAGAAACTCTTAGTTCAAAAAGTGAAGTAGTTTAAACACCAGTTTGTTCCATCTAAGTTCCTTCTTGATATGCCCTAAGAAGACTCTATCTACTCTCTCTGATGAATTAGCACTCAACTTCATCAGCTCTTCTCAATTATTTATGTTTCATTCTCTCTTCTAGTTCTTTAATTTCTCGTTAGGGTAGGCGATGCATTAGGTTCTTGGATCATAGACAGAGATTAGTCTAATTAGGATAATTAAAGTTGTTCTATCATTCTTGAGTTTTTTTCAGGGACTTAATCTGATATGTTGTTTTTGCCCTATCCTTCTGTCTTTGTGTTGTGAAACACTGAACCAAAAGGATAATAAATCTGCATTTCATAGTTCAGTATTTTTCTCCTCATTTTATTCTTTGTCTTCTGATATCCAAAAAAGTAAATGAGAGAGACCAGTATTGGTAACATTAATAATTACATATTGTTTAATATTTTGCAGTGGTGGGCTAGAACTGGCTGGCAATAAGGGCTGACTGACAAATATTCAGAAATTTTGTGAGCTGGGTGTTCAACTATGAATAACTCGAAATTAGCCATGAGAAGAGTATTCCAATAGAAATTGGAAATTGCTGTAAATCAGAGGCTTTCCTCCTCCTCCTTTA